TTAACAAGTAAACAGCAATAATAAAACAACAACCAGACCGTGGGAGACCCTCTTCGTGGGCTTTCAGAACCCTCATTTTAAATACGGATTCTTTGAATGCAGCTACTCTAGTTCCCGAGGAGTGGTTGCTAAACAGACTCACACAATGGTTTCATTCTCCTTCTATGCTAGCTTTTTAATTTCTCACTACAGCTTATTTGTGGCTGCTCACAGTTCGGGAATAATCAGTGGGCTATGCCAATAGTGTTTCTGCAAACAATACCTTTCCAGTTGAGGGTTGTTTGCAAAGACTTCTGTCACACGATAACTTTATTCTACTGGGTTGCTGTCAAATGTTAGCTCTCACATGTATGCCCAGTGTTTTGCATACAACCATTTAAACCTTTATCTAGAGTGTTCACCGTGGCTGTTTCAGCTTGAGCAGTTCTGTGCAGCTTGAGCTTAAGAAGTGAAGTGATATTTGGACCTTAGCACTGCCTAGGGAACATTCTCTTCAGACAGGAAGTGAGCAAGTGCAAAGAGCATAGGATGGAACCGTTCCTAGCATCCCTGCTCTGTTCTGGACGCTGTCTTACCACGTCTTACACATCTCAGCAAACACGGCATCAAGCCTCCCTCATGGGATGTGGATGGAATATATAGTGTCTTAGTTAATATTTATTATAAATTGTGTTTAGTTAGGCCTAAGAACTATATCAAGCTATTTGTATTTATTGCAAATTTCTTATATTTTTGGAGGAAAATGGTGTTTAGACATCTATGCAAGGATCTTAAGCAATTGCTTCTGTATGCATACATTTTGGTAACTGTGTTCCTCTTTTGTTTACAGGTAGAAAAATGAAGTGCAGTGTGGATACTTAGAGAAGCAGAGCAAAAAAAAAAAAAAAAAAAAAAAAAAAAAAAACCCTTATATAATTTGTGAGCCAGCAGTTCAAGACAAGTTATACTTCATTTTCAATAGATTGATATGCTTTTTGGTGCCAAGATAAATAGCTTCAGAATATCATCCAGAATATTGGAGACTGTAGCTAACTCAAAGAAATCTGCCAAGAGAGAAGTGAATAGATAACACTGGAACAGTTCCATGAAGGGCTGAATAAATACTCAGGGTTACTACCAAATTTGTACTATGTAACTTCTTGGATGCTGTACTTCCTACAGTAAAGGAATTACGTAGTGTTTCATGTGTATCAGTAGATACCTTTAAAGTGATGAAGTCTTGCTATGCTTCCAACAGCTCATGCCTCTTAGTTTTGCGATGCTAGGACCTTTGGCTTTTGTTTGGTACAGGCTCAATAATGCTGTCATGTGCTTATGAAGTTGCAGAATAGATTCAAGCCAGGAGGACATCATTGCAAAAACAAGTGGGTAGTTGAGTTAATACAAATTTCATGTAGCTTATTCATGGTTTTCCACAAACCACCAAGGTCACTGCAATAATTACCTTCATCATAAGGAAAATTCACCTGCTTTATATAGTAAGACTTTAAGAAACTGGAGGGCCATTGATGCTCTTGTCAGGATACTTCCCTCTGGATCTGAGACCTGTTTCTCAGAGAACGGTGATTTCATGAAAGACACAAACATACACATGGTGGTAGGCATGAGCTTATTGGATCCTCAAGACACATACCTGTGATTTTTGAATTTATACATATTTTCTACACCTCAGTTATTTTTTACAAAACTCCATCTACATCAAAGAGTATTTCTTTTTATACAGTTCACATTGCTATGATTGAAATTAACACTTGGCTTCTCTCTCATATGTTAGACTTTATCCAGTTTTACATTTAAGATTTAAGAATAGTATATTAAGTCTGTCAATTCCCTAGCAATAGCCAATAACTGTTTTTGTCAAGGACATGACTTAGAAACTTAACTTGTCCGTAGTAACCGAGTCAAGTTTTTGGTGCAAACGACAGTCCACTAAGTTGTATAACTAATATGGGGAAATGGTTTTGGAAAACTCTGAGAAAGCTTTAAGAACACTCTTGTCTACACCTATATTTATTGCAGCTCACACATTGCTAGAGAATTTTCTTTGTGTGGTTACACAGAACCAACTGTCAAAATGCAGAAAAGAGTGTCTGTTGGTGCTTGGCCACGCATGGAATATCTATATCACCCCTCTCAGTCAAAGATCAAAACAGAGGGAGAAGGGGAAGAAGATTGGAAGATTCAAAGGAATGCAAAAGGATGCATTCATAAACTCCCAGTAGCTATCCATCTATGACTGTCCACACAACCCTGTGCAGGATCAGGGCAGTCACCATTTTCCAGCACAGAGAAGGGAGGGGCTCCCGAGCCCCACCCACTGAGGGCCAGCCGATGCTTTCAAGGGGGAAAGAGCTACTCCATTTTCTTTAAGGGTATGGCCCCTGGTAAGGTCAACAATGTTCCCATGTGGAGATGCCCACCACTCATGAGCACATGTGTGGCACAAATTGGACTCAGTGAGCCATGAATGAAACCAAATAAAGGACATGGGGTTGTGAGGGGGTGAGGTCGTAGGGGGTGGATCTGGAAGGCGTTAGGGGAGGAAGAGGTTCAAATATAGTCAAATGTGTTGTATGCGTTATGTAATTCTCAGAGGATTAATAAAAACATATACTTAAAAAATACTTGTCTTTACCATTGTAGCTGCCATTGCAACATCTTCCATACTATACTCTGACAATAGACAAATGCATGATGCACAGTTAGTATTTTAATACATTGCCTTTCTTAAGTTTTCTTTACGGACAGTCCTTTTGACATTATTTCCCCTAGCATTTATCCTTTGTCTCATCCGAAATCTCAGAGAAAAGGATAGGCTGTCACATGCCAATTTCCCTTTCCTGTAATTTCAGGGACATAGATTCCCCAGCTTTCCCTATACCACACCATAGATAGGTCTTAGGAAAGAGAATGCGGATACCAGAAGAGCCTGACATTTTTGATGCCCATAAAGTTGGAAGTAGAAACAGATGTAAAATGTGTCATTCTAACCACTGAATTTGGAGAATTTAGAACGTAAAACCACATATCTTCACAATTTCTGAATTTGCATGGATCGTTATAAATTTAATTTTCTATCACTCAGGGCATAGATGCCATTGAATCTCTGCTTTCCCATGACCTGTATTTATGAAATTTATTTTGCCCTTACCACTTAAAGAGATCTGTCGGTGGTACCTAGGCAGGACGGAAGGAAGGAATTGTGGGAACATGGGGAAATGTGAGAGGGGTGGAGAGGAGAAAAGTGGCTGCGGGGTGGGGGGGTGGGGGGGTGGGAGGTGAGGTTGGGGTGGGGGTGGAGTTCACATTTTAGATGCCACCAATGGGGCCAATGGCTCACTGGGACAATATGTTTGGCAAAAGGCACCTTATGGAAGATAACACATTTTGTGGACGTAGGTCCAGGTGGAATATTCCCAGAGATGTCTCAACCAAGCATGTCACAGTAGTTAGGTTGTGCTACTTAGGGCTAAAGTGTAACCGTATGTTCCTAATACTCTAGCACTGCCCTCTCCTACACCTAGATGATGCCCCTCATAAATGCACTGTACAACCGTTATTAAACCTTCATTAACTTTTAATCCTGTTACAAGTTACAGTCTTTGGACAATGTTAAAAAGAAGGGGAGTGGCTTCTTAGCAACCTCTAGGTGTAACTTGAGAGCTACCTAAATCCCATAGTGAATGAAAAAAGAAATAAAACGGAAAGGATATGACTGCTCTTAGGTATGGTGGAGGAGAAAGTTTTTGATAGGTGTGTGAGAGAGTCCAGCGTGGACATGACCCTGAGGCTTGTGAGGACAGGGGACAAGGTACAGCAGCCTGGAGGCTCAAAGAGCAGACAAAAGGACCCGGTACCCAAATTCTTTTGTATTTAAGGGAGGCCTGCTTTCTCCGGTTCTGCAATGCTGAACCTTGCTCGTGCAGTCCTCTGCTGGCCATTCACAGCTGACAGGGCAGAGGCCCAGTGCACCCAAAGCAGTGGTCAGTGGTGGCTGAGGAAGCTGACAGGCGCCGAAGGGGAACAAAGCTGTGGCATTCTCTGGCTGTATTGCAAAGGGTTACTAGTTACTAAGGTGGTTCAGAACTCGGGGAATATCTCTGGAAGTTGACAACAGTTTATCAGGTCACTACATATTTCACAGACATGACGTGAGCGAAACTGATGGTTTCTGCTGGTCTTTAGCGGGGTTGTCCAACTGCTGCCGTTAAACAAACAAAATCCCCAACAAGACAACAAACAACAACAAAGCCACCCAGTTCTCAAACCTGGGGCAGCACACCCACAAGCTCAGATCTATGGCTGAACACTTCAAATAACTCCAGAAATGAGTCTGGCGGGGGCAGATTTCAGAAAAGAATGTCGTGTATGGTAAGAAAATGGGATTTTTGAGTCACATTAACATTTTTATGTCTTCACTAAGGTTTTCCAAAAATATTGACAGCACAAATGACATCAGTCCCTGTTTTGACACTTAAAGAATCAACAACCCCACATGGCATAGTCGCAGAGGATCGCACTCTTGGTACATGCTTCATTCAGCACCACCGGAACCAGATTCCCAGGAAGAAGCCAAAAGGTGGTGCGCTGCTCCCGGGCACCGCCCCCATGCCCGCCCCATCCCGTTGGAGCCAGAACGCCAATGCTCGCGAGAGCCCTGCCGGTTTCCACGTTTGCCACGTTCCAGAGGACCAAGGCAGACTAAAAAGCCACATGCCGCTCGGGTTCTGCAAGCGCTGCGGAGCACCAGACTTGCTTCGGCCTGCTTGGGGGCTGGAGAACGTACCGGCCCCGCCCTCTGTCAGCGGGCCTCGCGATTGGCTCGTATTGCCATCCTTCAGAGCTGGTGGGTGGGCCAAGGCTGGTGGGGGCGGTGCCGGGGCCGGGGTAGCTGAGCGCTCTCGGTCGCCGAAGGAGTCGCCGCCTGTGCGCATGCGACACTGGTCGTGTCCAAGCACGCTGGTGCAAATCTCCCGAGGAGCGGGGCGCGCGCCGTGGAGGCTGAGGTGTTGCTGCAGGAGTGGCGGATCCCTCGTGTCCCCTAGAGCACTCAGCAAGGCCCCCGTGCTCTGCAATCCCCCCGAGCAGCTCGCAATGGCCCCGCGCAAGAATGCCAAGGGCGGCGGCGGCCACAGCAGCAGCAGCACCAGCAGCAGCGGTGGCGGCAGCGGCTCGGGCAGCGGTAGCCCGAGCACGGGTAGCAGCGGCAGCAGCAGCAGCCCCGGGGCTCGGAGAGGTCAGAGTCCCCGCAACAGGGCCCGGGCGGCGGGCGGGAGATGGGTGGGCGCTGCAGGTCTGATCGCCGATCCTCTGCGCCTCTCCATCCTCGGAGTGGCTCCTGTGCGCTCGAGGCGAGGCCGACCTCACCGGGCGGGAAGGTGGAGAAGCGGGGCTCTGCTGGAGGGGACCCCAACACCGGCCTCGGGTCTCCAGGACACAGGCTGCCCGAGGTCATTGCGCGGCCCTTAATTGTGTTTTTTAGTGGAAGCTGGGCATAGAGGACCTCTTATCTTCTCCTTGCAGGTTCTGGGGCGCTTGACCCCGAGCCAAAGTCAGGGAAAGTAAGTTCCTGCCTGCCCTCCCAGCAATGTTGAGGAGCAGCTTGGAGGAGTGTATTTGGGGGCTGGGATGGGAGTGGATGCATCGTTCTTGCAGATTATTTTAAATTTTGTTTGGTTTGCTTAACACGTATTGTGTTTGTCTTTTAAAATAGGAAGGGGTGTCAAAAAGTACTGTACGATTTTTTTGTGTGTGTGTGCCTTCTCCCCTTTTCTGAAAAGAAAAAGTCGACTGGGTATTCACCTTTCTTCTGTATGTGCTTAGTTGGCAGAGGAGAGAACAGATGTTTTAAATATGTTTCGTGTCATATTTCATCGGTTCTCGGTTTCTTTGATATTTCCTTTGAGTCATATTTAGAATATTGGAACTGGAATACACATGTGTATTGAACGTGAGCTCTCGATTTCAGTAGAAATGGTTGAGGTTCCATGCCGCGGTCTACGTGCAGTCCATTATTATAAGCCAGGAAAATACATCGGATGGTTAGAGTATACGTCAGGAAAACAGACGGACGGGGCAGCCACGGCTTTTCTTCCTAGCACTTTCTGTCTTATTTATCTTCATGCATCCGCTCTCAAGCTCGTTCCCTTTTCTCAAGTAGAATAGCTCTGCTCCGTAATAGGTGCTCAATAAATATTTGATTAGAAAAGTGAACGAATAAACGTTAATGGGGAAAGTAGTGCAGTTAAATCCTTTGTACACATTAACATCCTGAGATAATGTTTGTATTCTTAATGGAAAGGACTCTACATACACAGTTCGAAGTTCAAGGCCGCTGCAGTCATTAATTCACTTAATGCAGGTAAAAATGATGCTCTGGTTCCCTGACCCAGCTAGTCTTATACAGACAGCACTGCTTATTCTGATGGCCGAGACTATAGACATGAATGAACTCTGTGAGTGGGAAGAGCCTGTTGCATGATCAGGTACCAAAGAGAAAGTTAATGAGCAAACTTAAATGCTGAGCTATTGACTAGTGAGATTTGTGTGTTCTTTGCTGCTGTCCTAGGAGCTTTGTGACTACTTGGGGAAGTGCTCTAACCGCTGAGCTACATCCCCCAATCCTTCCTCCTTTCCTTTTATCCTTTGCAAAGCCCTTGAGTAGAGAAATGATTGCATTGAGGAATCACCTTTGGGGCCTGTCATTGCTATGAATCAGTACAGAAAATGGGCTTCATTTTCTTACCTCTGCAGTAAATGAACCATTGTGACTGTTAGCTGATAGGTTTAGAGAATGCTAGGCTGCATAGCAACTTGAATCTGCCTTATTGCTCACATTTTAGGGTAAAATTGCAGCATCTCCAGTTGTCAATTTTGAAATACACTGGTTCCATAACTATAATGGAGCACAAATTTGTGAGTGAAATAGCTGGGCCCTCACCCCTTCCCCAAATCCAAACCTTCATTGTGCAGCGTGGATTGTTCTTCCCAGGCCATTCTGTTAAATAAACACCGGGTTCTGACTGTGGGTGAAGAAGGCACCTGAAGTGGAACCTAAGGCTCTCTCCATGGAGCTCCACAGTTCCATCACAGCCAGAAGGCATGGTTCTATTTACTGCAATCATAGCAGGGTAGAGCTGGAAGCTAACAGGCTACTGAAAGAAAAGTTAACTTTACGTGGTCACTGAGGTAGGGACATTGTGACCTGCAAGCCACCCTGGCTGCTGGGGAGTTAGTTGGTTCACAGGTGCAGATAACAGTGACATTGCTGTGACATTTAGTGCCTTCTAGTTACATAAGATGAGATGCATTAGGAAGGAGGAGCACAGGCTAGACTCCAAGTTTTCAGTTGCTCTTCATCGTACTTGCGTCTTGGGTTCCCAAGCAGAATACATTATTTTCTGCGGCATTGTCCATGGTATATATAGTACGGGTCATTGCAGGAACTTGAGCTCATGGCCTTAACTGATTGGCCTTTGGCTAAAATATGTTTGAAATAGCACATTAAGCTGGGTGGTGGTGGTGCACACCTTTAATCCCAGCACTCGGGAGGCAGAGGCAGGCGGATCTCTGTGAGTTCGAGAGCTAGTTCCAGGACAGCCTCCAAAACCACAGAGAAACCCTGTCTCGAAAAACAAACAAACAAAAAACAAAAACAAAATAGCACATTAGTAAATTTTACTTTAGAAAGTGGACTCACCAAGTTTTTTACATCGAGACTCTGATGACAATGGTAACATTGGTCACAATTTTTATGTAAAAGTGTGGAATGGGAGATGGGAGTCCGTTCGTTTAGAAAACATTTTAAAGTAGGCCTCAGTTTTCATTCTCTTCAGCTCAATTGAGAAACAATAGAGTTTCACCTTATATTTTTCAGTTTTACTCCTTAGAATACAAAAGGAAGGAATAATTGGACACTTACCTTTAACTTGCATATAAAATGTTGTGTGGCCAGTTGGGGCCAGGGAAAGCCTTTTTCACAGTTACTGATGGGGATGTAGTGGAGGGGCTGGTGCCCAGTGTCAAGCTTGCTCCCATCGTCTTAGTCTGCCACCCTCTGCCTGTTTTGCCTGTGGGCTTGCGTCTGTCTTACCATGTACCAGAAGGTGTCGCTGTAGAACATGTTCCCCCTCCCAATTTGAAGCTTCCAATTATATAAAGGCAATTAGGTTTTAAAATCATTCAATTTGTGCTTCCCCAGAAATTCTCTTCTGTTCGTGTTTAGTTATTTCAAAGTATCTAACAGGTTTTGGAATTTAGTAATAAGAGTTTGTGTGGAACACCTTTCTTACTGAGAATAAACTATATCCGTATATACTTGGGTAGATACATTCAAACAGTCTTTTGTTGCGTGTTGGTCATTTAGAAATGTGCTTCTGAATGTATTCTCTACCATTTCCACACACTTTCTATGTCTCTTAGGTTACTAGTCTATTGTGTGCTGCTGAATATATCCTGGCTTCCTTGAGAGAAGAGCTCCCTGGAACAATTCTTTTTTACCTAACCAGGGGAATCAGTTAGGGCCAGTGGCTTGATCCTCTTCCTTCAATTTAAGGATGAATGAAATAGGAAGTCCATAATATGCTCACGATAAAAGTTGTATGTTTTTGTTGTTCTGGTAACAGCATTTTTCTAGCTTGGCCAGATCATCTGAAAACAGGTTCTATACAATTCTTTACAGCCATATCATGGGCTGGGAAGTAAAGATCCATAGTTCAGTCTTGTGTTGATATCATCTGTTTCATAGAGATTATTAGAAAATAAGTAGATAAGGCTTACATTTCTAGCTAATTCACAATAGTAACATGGATAAAGCTTATGTGAGCTAGCTTTTATTAGATACTTTATTTCCTGTGTTGGCTGTCCCCAAAAGGGAACAACAAAAGCCATTTTTTCCCCCTCATGGAAGACAGTGCAGTTTAGAACAAAGAACCTGATAGCCCAGGCCCCTATTTAGTTAGGCAACACGTGGCAAATCTCTCTCGCCATCTCTAATCTTAATCTGTTTACTCTCTTTTGCTTCCTGATTCTGATAGGTTAAGACAATTTGATCTGCCTTGGTGCATGACATACATGTCATACATGTTTCCAGGCACATGGTAAGAGGCAAGGGGGTGTAAAACCTGAGAGAATACAAAATATACATCTTACTTGAAAGTCTGTGTTACTGTTACTCTGTAACATGTTTGTTTTGCAATTGATTATATGTAACTTTCTGAAGCACTCGATACAATCTCATTTGTGCAGTGCCTTCCTTCAAATTGCTATTTGCCAGCTAATCTCAGAGTTTTGTAACTTTCTGTATCTTGTTAGAACTCAGATACAGTTTGGTCTTTTGATGCTCTTCCAGATGCTGATGTAATGGCATGAGAAGTGCTTGGCCTGCATCTTGAGTATGCCCCGTCTGTTATCCCCAGCAAGTACAAAGTACAAAAGACTGTCAAATAAATCCGCTTTAGTAAAAACTGTATGCATAGCTAGGTAAGATCAAGGCAGTCTGGTGTGGTTTTGCATGGGGGGGGGGTGACGAGAGATGATAGTAATACATAGTGCTTTTCAAAGGAAGAAAGAAGTTTCAAAATTTTCACCATGAAAAAGATATTTGAAGATATGATGTTTTTTTTTTACCTGGTTTACATATTATACATATTGGAACATTGTAAGGCACTCCATTAATATGTATAGTTTTTCTGTATCAGTTAAAAATGACTTAAAACAAAAACTGTATGACAGTAAAAAGCCATTTACAGTTTACTGGCGTAATTTGAGGGAAGCTGCAGCTCTCTGTCCCTGGACTGGTGGTGCCTGACTAATTCCCTGTCTGCTGCCCACGGTCTAGCTGTTGAGCACTGCACTCATGGGTGGGATGTGCCGTTCTGAGTGAACATACACCTCTTCCATACAGAATCTCCATTTCTAGGCTGGAGATGAGAGGTTCACTCCCTGTGCCCCTCTGAAGTGATGTATTCTGGAATTTAGTGCATGAACTTTCTTTTTTGGCTCTGGTACTGCTAGGAACCAGTGTGGTATTATTTTTTTGGTCATTATAATTACTTCCTTTGACTTTACTGGATGTTCAGGTATTTGTTCTGTAGTTGACATTTGTTTTTCAGAGATGTGATTTGGGTCCTTGCTGTTCTTGTCATGGCAAGCCATTGGATGCAACTTAATTCTGATCAGATTGATGATGGCCGAGGACAAACAAGTTATGACCCAGTAAGCTGGGCTTTTAAAAGG